ATTAAACATTAATTAAAATTTATAATCCATACATAATCTAATCTTAGAGGTAATTTTATATTATAAGGTATTTAATTGATATGATGTAAAAACAGAAAAAGGTATAATATAAAAAGTGATGTACGGGAAGAATCGTCTCATTTCTTTTACAAAACATAGGAAAGTCTTTAATTATGTCACTGAAAACCAAGTTCAACAAAAACGTTGGCTTTCAAAGCTTCACAAACTAGAAGAAGAAATAAAGAAATACACTTAAAAAAAAATTCAAATGACCTGAAATCAAAAAAACAGAGGGCTTATTAATAATGTGAAATTAAAAAAAAAAAACGACATTGAGAAATTTTCCTAATTATTCAAAAGGTTGAGATAAGAAAAATTTAGTTCAGGGTTTTATATCATAAATACTTTAATAGATACTAAATAGTTTCTTATTAAAAAAAACTACATTATATAATGGATGATAGAAACGGACAGAGTATAACTTATTTTAAATAAAATAATTTAAAAAAATCATAAGATACCTTTATTATAAACTATATAAAAACATTAGAAAACTACAATGTAATGTTTAAGTCAGATTTTGGTTATTATTATCGTTTATCTGTTCAGTTTATAATCAGACATAATTACCATCAACTCAGAACATACATAACAAGTATATTACTATAACTTATATAACAATTTAAAGCAAGTGAAACACAAAATATATAAATTTATTCATTACCTTCATTAAAATATAATATTAGAATTTTTTTTCTTATTAAAAGTTCATAAACTCCATATATAAATGTAATAAACGAATTATATAATTGTATATTAAAATTATATTTGTTCAAATAAAATATACATGTTAAAGGTTTCTTCTTGATCGAAATCTGTTAGATAAGTAAGATCATGTGTATAGAAACACTTTTACAAGTTAGATGTGTATTAAATAATAAATGCAATAATAATTAATAAATAATGATATCTTTAAAAATGTTCTTTTTATAGTATTTCAATGAATTCTTTTTCTGAATAAATACAAACTGCGGTCAAACCTGATACAGGGGACTCTAAGATATTTTTATCATTTACTACACCCTTATTTATATTTAATGTATCTTATTATCATAAATGAAATTAGAATAACTTTTACAGATATTCAAGAAAAAATCGTGTACAAATATGTCATTTTTTCACTGTGTTTTCGTGATATAATTAAAGTTATAAGTACAAATTTAAATATAAAATTAGTATAATTTAATTTTTGTAAAAAGGTATGGAGTCATTTCGGGGTGTGTTGTTTGGTTTTAGTTTTGTTGGTTTGGATGGGTAGTTGTGGGTGGGGGGATGGGGGTTTGTAGTTGTTAATTTTTTGGTGTGTGTTGGGTGTGTCGTGTTTTTTCTTGTTTTTTTGGTAGTATTGTGGTATTACAACTATTTCAATAATTACCACTCACATTTATTAGTTTACAATGCTTAATCGACCTTCAATAGTAAAAACAAGGTATACCATATAAAATACAATTATATATGAATTATAATTGAAAATACCATTAAAATCATATCATATTGTTTAATGGAAATATGTTTGCCTAATCAATACAACTAAAAAAAATATAGAATGCATTTTACTGTTATTTGAATAACAAATTGTAAACAATGAAACATATGTTTTTTGAGTAATAATAATATCACTTAGTATTATGTTCTCTTAATTTGTAGAACAAATTGTTACTTGGGTATTTTAGTTCGCCACTCGAACAATAAATACATTTCTTATTTACATAAGACAAAAACTTAAAAGGGAAGAAAGAGTGAAATATAGATTATTCCAAAATATATTTAAAGCACGAAGAAAAAGAAAATAAAAGGAAATCAATTCCTAAAAATAATTATAAAAAGTAAGAAAAAAAGTTACCTGGTGAAATGAATAAAACAACGTAATAATATTATTAATTTTTTTTATATAATTTTAAAACTACAGTCAACATAATATCACCTTTTGATTTTAAATCATCAGGTTGAGAATTATACTATCATTGAATAAGATATTTGGTGAAATCGTCTTGTGTCCAATACATTAAAACAACAAAAAAAGCAAAATCTGAACAATTAGATAAAACTAGCCAAAAATTGTTTCAAAATGGGTAGTGATTTTCCTTAAAAATATATTTTTCAAAATGTATTTTGCTTTTATCATAAAAGTAAAGTGTTTATTGTAAAAATCAATAAATTTACCAGTTTTCGACAGCCAGTGAATTTTATCTTTTTGTCAGCATTTTTTTATATTTTCCTGTCTTAACTTCATTTTTCCACTTTTTTTTGGCATGCAACCAGTTTAAATAAAATAAAATTTGGTGTTAATTAGAAATATATTTTCTATATATATATTTTATTATTGATTGCAATTTATTGAAAATAATATAAAAAATTAGAGTAGTCTAAATTCATTATTTTGAGAGAGACAAAAAGAAAACAACAACCAAAATAAGTAAGTTAAAGTCAACGCACTACTAAGTAATTATTGAACCACAATAAGCCCTCATTCTGCAATTTCATCCTCCACCTTTGAATGAAACACAAAACTTGGAAAAGCAGTTGTCACGTCCCTGCATTATTTTCATAATTCACGAATTAAAAAATAATAATTACAATTTTTAAACAAAAGTGATTGAATTTTTTTTAATAAAAAAGTTATTTCAACATACCTCAAGTAGGGTAACGTCATAACTTTCAACAATGAAGGGTTTTCATAAACGAAGTTTTTCCACTCATATTTGTCTATTTTCCCATCTTGATTAGGTCAGCATCCATGAAAGTCTGCTCATAAAAATAAAATGTCAGAACATTTTAATTTTTTTAATTTTGACATAGGTAATGAAAGATTAAGAGGGTATTAATAAAAGTAATACGAAAGCTTAAGCGTTTTTAACAAACGTTAAACTCACCTTGTTAATAATTGTTTCTATCGTTTCCTCTGACAACTTAATTTCCGCTTCACATAGAAGTGCATTTATCATTTGCTTGACCTGCCAAAAATCATAGCATAGATAAATTATGTATATAATTAAGAACATTTAGATGAAGTTAATTTCATTATATAAAAGAATGCATGGCAGAAAATATTACATCGTATACCTCATGACGCTCTATGAATCCTGTGTTTCTAAATCGTACAGCTTAAACGAAACTGCAAGAAAACTCACAGGAAAAATTATATCAGTTGCTTTAAGGATAAACCAAAAGATTAAGATTAATTAAACGGTTTTGATTCAACTTATTTACAGTCTATTTTGACTTCCATTGGTGCAGATGGGTGAAAAACATTGAGTGCTCTGACGAAATCACCAAAGTCAATCGCTCCTTTCTTTTTGACATCAAACAAATCAAAGATCTGCATGTTGAAAAAATTGTTAAGAGAAGTAATTATAAGTTATCCATTTAATTAAATGAATCTAATAGTAATTAGAAGGATTAGCTATTATGAGTTCTGAATTATAGTACAAAAGATTTTCCAAAAATAAAATAAAATACACTACTTGTATTACAAAACATTTATTTAAAGATATGTGGTGAATTTGCAAACAATATTAACTATAATGGAACAAATATTTAAAAAAGAAAACAAATATTGTAAAGTACCCGACTCGTAAAGAGGTTTTCCTTCTTCTTATTATTAAAAATTGCCAGTTGAAATTCCTCCTGCAAAAGAATACTTATTCTCATTGTCAGACCAACTATAATGTAACAAAATATATATATATATATATATATGTATGTATATATATATATATATATATATATATATATGTATATATTGAGTTATTAATTAAGATGTAAAGTATGTTTTGTATATTGAATTTCTTTTAAAGTGTGTCAGTTAAGAAAGATAGAATCAAATAATTCCCTTTAATAGGTTATTTTGGAAAATAGTGTCATTATTAAAGAAAATATTCAAACATAGTAACACACAGTTATTGTGTTAATATTAAACTTTAAGTTTAACTCAATCACACAAAACCAACTTATAGAATGAGGTTTGCATCCACTTATAAATTATGAATTGACCTTATCTTTAGTTAATGTGAGACTTCTAACATGTTATAAAAAAAATAGAAATTTTATGTGTTACCTTGCTTATCAGCCCATCATCGGTGACTGACCTGCTAATGTTCTTAAACAGCTCATATAGTGCTTCAACATCACTTACACTAACTGAGAAACCAAAAATTAACAAATAAGTTAAATCTATAAGAGTGTCTATATATATGTGTGTGAAATATAGGTTAAACAATTGAAAAAAAAATGCATCTCACGGTCACTTTATTTTGTTTTGATCTACATGACATGTGCAGTAACAACATCAATTTATTTTCCCATAAATAAGGTTTGGTTTTGTCTTGATAACAATCAAATAACAATGTTACAATTGTGGAAGAATCATAATTTTGTAATATTGATCATTAGAAAAAAAAAAACTTACAAGCTGTCTCTGACGCAAGAGCAAACGGATCTTCCATGGGAATTTCCCTAACTTTGGAGTGGAAACAACCCATTTATGAAGGGAATAATAAGCAACTGAACACGTACTAGAGTATGTGTTCGAGCTTTAGTTGAATATGTTGCTAAAACATCTTGAAATTTCCAATTGCAAACCCAGATTCAAACATCACAAGAAGAAAATAGTCAATAATAAATCAACATTATTACGTCAATTAACATTGTATGGAGCAGATCAAAATAGATTAAGCATCACATGATATTTGATCACACAAAAGCATGGCTAAGTGTACGTTATAAACGACAATTTCTGGATTGTTTGTTAAAAAAAGAAAAACATTGCAGGAAAAAAAGATGATTTTGAGCATTGGCTTATCAAGACAACATGGACATTTACGAGAAAGTATGAACGATCAATCACTAACATGTTATAGGTTTCTTGTTCTGGAAGAAAAAAACGCGCAGATGTAACAAACTCATAAAAACAACAATTTCACAGATTTGATCAATAATATTGTATAAATTAAGCATTCCATAACCAGAATCGTATCGCTAACTCATACATCAAACAAGGAAACACATGCTAATTTATATAAAACCCAGTAAACAGATGATGCAATTGTCAAACGGAAACAAAATAAGATCCGTTAAATTTTGAGACATTCTCGTCATGCACGCACAAAAACCTAATACCAATGAACGTGAAACCCTAAGCAAAACATAATAATCTCGATAAAACATTTCATGTGTCATGAAAGAACACGAATTTTGGGACATAGTGTCGTGCAAGAATGACATGGGAGAAAAGACTCACCAGCTTGAAAACTTGGCCACCAAAATTGGCGTTTGATGTTTTAACTAAATATGTGGCCATTGGTACAATATTACTAATAGAATATAAAGAGAAGAAAGTGAAATCTAAGAGTAGATTTATAGAAGGGGTGTTGGTCCCATTATTGTCCTCAACCTAAGTAAGGTTGGCAATGGCCAACCAAAACCATTTAAGACAAATCATAACCAATTACATAATCTTAAAAACAAACTAGACAACTATACAATAACTTAACACATTAATTGTAAAATCCAACGACAAAATTCATATTTCATTATTTAAAAGCGGTGTAAGAAATGTGTCTGTATTCAGTTCTGTTATTATATATGATAATAAAAAAATATTTTTTATCATAATTTTTGAATGAATAAGATAATTTTTATAATTTTATTATAAATAATTTTGTTTATTGAAAGTAGTTAATTAAATTTAAAAAATAATTATAAATTTAAAACTTAAGATAATGAAAAAGATTTATATTAAAACAAGTAAAATGAGTAAGAAAATGTGTCCACATAAAAAAACAGTTATGAAATGGTTATATATAAATCAATCATCTTTATTAATAGTCAAGGTTGTTAGACTTACTTCTTAAATTAAGATTTTTTTTAAATCATAAATTTAATTTTTAACTATCCTACCTAGGAATAAAGTTGGGTCTATTAACGAGGAAGTTAACTAGAGATACAATACCAATGAAATCTACTTCACATATAAGAGATTAACATCACTCTCTACTCAAAAGTTTAAAGTAATGTATTAATGGACATAATAGTGTTCTATTTTCTAATTTTTATCGATGTGGGACTTAGACTTACACTTGAATTCTCAACCATTGCTTTCACAATTCTTGTACTTTGTATATTTTTATGCAAAATTTTTGTATACTTTTATGCAAAAAAATTTCGTACTTTTATACTTTATTGGTATACATAATTTATTTCTTTGCTATGTGGTATGGTAGAGTGTTACTAAATATATATTAATATTACTTTTTCGTTAATTTCTTGAAATAATTTGTAAAAATAATAACTGTCGGACAAAATGGTGTTTTCAGTTTCCGAACATGTAAAGTATGCGTGCGGTCTTTCTTTTAACTTTTGATAGTAGCTTTTATTTAACCATAAAAATTGATTTTTCATAAGTTATTTAGTATTATTCGTAGTACTAAAGTAGCGCCTCTCTTTTTTTCCACAACACATTCCTATTTAAAAAAAATTAAAGAATATGATCCAAAATTATAAATAACTAAAAAAGTACTAAGACCTTAAATAGTAGTAAGAGAACAAATTTATGTTAACATTAAAAAATTCAAAAACGGAATACCGTGAGCCATGCGTCGAGTTAGACGGAGACTGATTCTTCTTTATTTTTCAAAATTCTAATTTGATTTGATGGCTCACCAACCCACCGGTGAGGTGAAGCCTAAGATTTTTTTATATATTAATCTCTTTTGAAGTACTTACCAATAATTATTTTAATATGTTTTCGTACACATGGATTAAAAGGGAATTCTCATTGGAACCATTCTCAAAAAGAAAATTAAATTATCTGAGATATTTTTTCGGAGTTTAAATGAATTCAAATATATATATGTGTGTGTTTGTTTAATATTCATACTCTTTTTATTCGTGATGGATGTGAAAAAACCAACTGTTATAACTGGAGTTGCTTTGTGGGTCGTTCAGATAAACACGTTACAACAAATTTAACGGCGGAGATGAATCCATTTATGGTGTGTTCGCATTGACTTTAAAATAAAATAAAATAAAAACGTCAATGTTATAAAAAAAATAATAAGTAGAAGAAAGCTTAATCAGGTGGGACCCAGTGCCGCGGGAACGTTATTCTCCAAATTTCAAAGCGAAAGCAACCTTATCATGCCCTCCTCATTCCAGCGTACGCACGCTTAAATATATTCTTTTTCTTTATTTTTATTTTAACATTATTCTTTTTTTCTCTCTTTACAAATTAAGAAAAATATCGTATTCGCTTCAATTATTATAGTTTTTTTTTCTGACTTGAAAAGATTCATAAAATAAAATTAAAGATTAATTTTTAGAATACTAAGATACCTTTTAAAAGAACAATGCAAATTTTTATATTAACAATACATAACAATTAAGTTGTTCAGTTTGTTTACAAATTTGGTAACCCATTAATTTTAAATTAAAGTCTTTAACCTATGCACTTAATGTTTAAAATGTTATGTTAATATAACTTGATAAACCTTACAGGATTATGTTTCACACCTAATTTATATTTCTCTCATCTATATTTTTTATCCGACAACCCATTCTCATTTTCTTTTGGGTATGGCTCATACTACCGTCTACACTTAAAAATCTTCTTTTTTTTTGGTTTTTTCTCACGACATGTATGTTGGTTGGATTGGAGTGATCATCATTATCAGTTACCAATGATTAACAAATTTTGGTATGTAATGAATCCCCCTATCTTCTTGTCCATCTATTTATGTAACAATCACATATAAATGCCACTCCTTGTCTTTGGTGTGAACGAGGATGTCGTAATGGACAGTTAGCTTGCTAGCAGCGACTAATTTCTTTGGAGTAAACTTTACTTTTGCCTCTTGAATATGTCCTTGTCTTTTACACTGTTTTGATCAAACCTCAGCACCGTACTTGGTACTCAGAACTAAGAATTTATACCTAAAAATAATGAACATAAATTGCTTTTACAGTTGAAGAACGAGTAAAGATGGTGAGTTCTTTTTATTGAGTTTTAACTATTTTCCGCTTACCTGCCTCCATTGATTTGCACATGCTTCTTTCCCTGTTGCCTTTCGATTTTATTTAGTCTTCCTTGTGTAACTGTTTATTATATTTGGCCTCATTGGACTTTTAATGTAGGGTGATAAAGAGTATATAAAGCCATATCCATTTCCTTATTTGGGTTTTCTATTGTGAAAAGGTTTGGTCTGATTTGAGGCTTTGGTGAGAGTGGATATGGAAGAAGAACGATACGAGACTCTGAAGGAGCTTGGTTCGGGGAACTTTGGAGTGGCAAGGTTGGCCAAAGACAAGAAGACAGGGGAACTTGTTGCTATCAAATACATAGAAAGAGGAAAAAAGGTCATGAAATTTTATCAAACATTTGATGATTCAGTTTTTCCTTGAGGAATCTCAATTTGACTTATTCAGATTTCTCTTCTGCTTTGCATTCTGCCTTGACGCTTTTCGGATCTCATTGTGTCAGAAAGATATTTATCAATTTTGTTCATGACCACTGTTTCAAAATAACTAGCTCATCTCACCTTATCCTCCTTATCCTTGGATCAACCTCACATTTTTTGTTTTCTGAATTTTTTTCCCAAATTCGTTCTCATCTTACATTCCTCTGAGTAAGTTATGTTTGCCGTTTCAGATTGATGCGAATGTCCAAAGGGAGATAGTAAACCACCGATCTCTAAGGCATCCGAATATTATTAGGTTCAAAGAGGTAAGAGTTTGTTTCCGTTCTCAAGCTGTTCCTTGAGTAGGATTTTTTTTTAAAGTTATGTGATAGTTGTAAGAATGTTTTGCTCTTACAGCTTTCATACAAACACAGCTTCTACTTCTGCTTCAGACTTGACTTTAGAATATAAACAAAACAAAACTGTGTAGTTCATTGATGTTATTGGCTCATAAAGAAATGCAGGTGTAACTCATTATAGAATCTATTGAGAGCTCTCTGAAGTTGTATACTCATTCTGGAAGTCAGATTTTTTCTGCAGGTATTTCTGACCCATACTCATTTAGCTATTGTCTTGGAGTATGCTGCTGGAGGTGAACTCTTCGAGAGGATATGCAATGCTGGTCGATTGAGTGAAGATGAGGTTGATCACTTGGTTGTGTGTGTGTAGTGTCCTCTGTAAGTACAAGTGATGGTTTTGATGAATTCCCTTTATCGCAGGCAAGATTTTTCTTCCAGCAACTGATATCTGGAGTTAGCTATTGTCATTCCATGGTATGTAGGCATTCAGAAAATTTTGATGTTGTCCATTTAAAGCCTTTGTGTAATATCATATCATGTATCCTGCTGCAGCAAATATGTCATAGAGATCTGAAATTGGAAAACACTCTACTTGACGGAAATCCAGCTCCTAGACTTAAAATTTGTGACTTTGGTTTCTCCAAGGTCTGTAACATCTCACCAAAGTGAACCTTTTTCATATATTTGTCTGTTGAATTCCCTAATCAATTTAATATTCAAATGCAGTCTGCTTTGCTGCACTCTCAGCCTAAGTCAACGGTTGGAACTCCTGCATACATTGCTCCAGAAGTTTTGTCACGAAAGGAATATGATGGAAAGGTATTGTGAAATTCGCTTAATAGTTTTGCAAAGTGAAGCTTGCTGTATCACATCAAGTTAACAGTTCATGACAATGTGAAAACATGCTTAATTCGGTCTCAAATTGGGAATTCTGTAGATTGCAGATGTTTGGTCGTGTGGTGTGACTCTTTATGTGATGTTAGTTGGAGCATACCCATTTGAAGATCCAGAAGATCCTAAGAATTTCAGAAAGAGTATTGGGGTGAACTCTTACTTGACTTAAAAGAGATCCTTTATGATTAATACCTTTGATCTATAGCAGCAAGATTAAACTCTGATTCTCTCGTTGGCAGAGAATTATGAGTGTTCAATACGCCATACCCGACTATGTTCGTGTTTCTAAGGAGTGCAGACATCTTATCTCTTCTATTTTTGTTGCTAATCCTGCCAAGGTACGTAACTATCATTAGTACTGTCATATATACAAAACTACAAATGATTATGTGCAGACAGAGGCTAAATACTTGTAATTAGAATGATTAAGTATTCCTAAACATCATATGTCTATAGTTTAGTGTTGAAGATTCAAATGTAACGTATCACATTAAGTAGAAATAAAAAAAGAGATACTTAGGAATATTTATACTGAATGGGAAGTGTATTAATATGAAAGGAACTCACTTGTAAGACAGATTGTTGAGAATCCAAGTAAGTTTAACTCTTTGTTCACTTGAATGGGTTTGGGGGAGAGTTATTGAGTGGATTTTGAGAGGATTTGAAAATAATTTTTTTTGTTATTTATTTGAGTGAATTTTGAGGTAAGTGAAAGTGGATTTGGAAGCAACGTTTGTAAGAATTAGTGTAAGATTTGATTGATGTGACAGATTAAAAAATTTACTTCTAAATCCACTCTCATCTACTTCCAAATCCATGCAAATAAACAACAAAAAAAATTATCTTCAAATCCTCTCAAATCCATTCAATTCCTCTCTCCCAAATGCATTCAAGTGAACAAAGCCTAAGTCTCATTTTTTATAGAAATGAAAAAGTTAAGCAACATAAAATAGAAAACTCATAAATTTATTGTCTTAAAGTTTTAAATTAAAAATAATATGAATCTTTTATGTTGGTTGGGTTGAGATCTTACTGGTGGTGTTGTGTTTGTTGAGTCTCTTTCCTTGAAAGACCCATCATTTAGTTTGTCTTAAGTTTTTAACACTTTACTACATTCCATAATGTACTTGACTAAATTCATACTTAAATTTATAATTGTCATGAAAACATGTTTGCAAGTTATCAATATATGGTTGATATAAAACATTTCTCCATTTTGTTTGTGACTAATCTTTTTCATGTGTGTTCAAGTGATTTGATTTGTAATAATTGAAGTGTATTAATGATTTGTATTATTTTCATCCTTGTTGAAAGAGGATCACCATGTCGGAGATAAAACAACACCTTTGGTTTAGGAAGAACTTGCCGAGGGAGATAATCGAGGCTGAAAGAAGGGGTTACGAGGAAACACAAAAGGACCAACCAAGCCAGAGTGTGGAAGAAATAATGCAGATCATAGAAGAAGCAAGGACAAAAATTCACACTCTTGAGCAAACTTCGACAGGATCGTCGAACGTTGTACATGTTGATGAGGCTAACGAGGAAGTTGAAGACCACTTTGCCAAAAATCTAGTCCTTGAGTAATTTATGGTTGAGCATATATATAATTTTTTTTTACCAAATTTACTATGCCTTCTTCGTGTGTGAGGTATATAGGTTGGGTTTGGAACAATTTTATCACTTCCAATAGAAGTTCACACTTTCTTAAAACACCTAATTGAAAAACAAGTTTTGTGTAATGATCTTGTGTTCATATCTACTTATATATTCATTTAATTATCTTATAAACAAATTATTATTTTATAACTAGTGATGATTTATATATTCAAGTAATTAGTAATTTTATTTCAATATATATATATATATATATATATATATATATATATATATATATAAACATGTTATTTCTTATATTACTTAATCACAATAATTTATATAACATAATATGAAGCAAAATATTACATTAATTAATTAAAAGATAAAAGAAGTTATATTAACATTTCTTTCATCTTTACTTTTGTAATTTATTTATAAAACATCCATTCAATATTTTTACTAATTATTTCATATTTATCCAGTTATTTTATACTTCTATTTTATATTTATATCACTATTATTCCTTTTTCGATATTCTATATTGTAAAAAAGTATATATCTTTTTTACATTGAATACTTGATATTATATTATTTTATTTGTTATGATATTTGTTTTTTTTAAAAAATTATTTAGTTCATATTTAGAATAATTACTTAAAGGTGTATTCATTTTCTAATAAAAGTGAGAATAAGATAAAAAAAACTTATTTCCATTGAGTATAAAGAGGAATTTATATTTTGAAAATAATGTTGAAAGTCAAATCTACGTCTCTGTCTTATTGTAATTCCTAACAATAATTATTCATAAATGATATTATTAAGGAAGTTATAAGGTCAACTTGTTAGAAATCTAATTATAAGTTAAAAAAACGAAAGATATATAAATATTGAGCATTAAAGTTTTGTGTTGAAGGGTTGCCATGATTTTTTTTTAACAACTCATAACTCATAAATAGTAAATCTTTTTAAACTATGTTACTAAAAAAACTTTCAATAATAATATCAGAATTAATAATTTATCCCAATTTTTGACTCGTATGAAAATAAGTATATCCTATGATAAGACCCAACATTAGTTGAGATAAAAAAAAACGTTAAAATAAATAAAAGAAACAAATATATCTTGTTCTAATAAAAATAGAAGAAAAAACTCAACTCGTATTTGAAAAAAAAAATTGTTAGAAATCCAGTAAAAAAAATTAGTGACATATAAAAAAAATATACATTAAACAAAAAAATAATATCATGATATCTTAAAAAGTTCTTTCACCCTACTATAATTAAACTTTCATCGTAATTTGATTTATATTGTTTTTAGATTTTAATCTATAGGAACTATTGCACCTATATCCATATATAAAATATTTTATAATTTATTATTATTGTATACATTCAAATAGTTAGTTATTTTGTTATTACAATAGATAAAATCCAACGATAATGTCTATTAACTCTAGTATATTTATTAGCAGTACAATCCAAATATATACAACTTAACATTCTAACTCTCGTTAAAATAAGGTCACAAAAACCTATATGATAGGGTGGTTACAAAAAGAAAATACTTTTCAAGTCACTTTCCATATTAATATTTACTTTGTACTAATTCTTTTTCATCTACTATAACTTAGGTGTCACAACGTAATTTGCAAATCTTTCATTTAATGTTGTGTGAGACCCTTATTACAATCTACATCTCAAGTTCAATTCATATACAAAGAGACAAATGATCACACTTCACAAAGAGATCTATCCAAATATGTTCACTTTTTAGTGAAAATAATTATTCAACCACATTACTTTATGACAACGGTTCATCAAATTTAAAAGTTGGATTAACTAAATTATTATCTAATTAATTGTTTTTAAGTATCAATTTAATATTTAGCAAGCATTATTTTTAAGAAAAAGTTCATTCTAAATGCAATTTAGGAAGAAAATTTAAAATAAATTTGTGAATATTTTGATTTAACTTTGTTATTGGAAAATTGAATTTACTGAGTTTAGTTGATGTTTTAGTCTTCCCATGTGATTGACTGCTTTTGGTGAAGTATTATTTTTCAACCACATATTTTTTTTCAAAAGTTACGATTTTATTTTAAAAGATCGAACCTAATACTCATTGAACGAATTATATATTAGTAAAATATATTGTTTTATAACTTTTAAAAGGATGACTTGGCTCATTTTTATGTATTTTTTATTTTCATTATTTAATAAATTGAACATATGGACTATAAAATATTATCTCTTTAATAATAAAAAATGTTCAATTGTAGAATTTACACACAAAAACTTTAATGGTTCATTATTAGGAGTTATATTATTCAACTGACAAAAACTTAGTTAAACCTTCATTTTATTATATTTCATTATATTATAACAATTTGGAATAATGGAGCTCAATTATTTCAGCACTTTCTGTTTTACTTTAATGTTTGGTATCAGCTTCGAATCGAAATCAAACCAAAGAAACAAAACAACACGTTCTTGTAACATTGTCAAAGACTCGTTTGGGACCAAAAAAATCGACAAAATGCCATCGATCTGAACTCTGAACCCAGAGCGTCCAATTCAAAACTCTTTTCACCTTTTCTTCCATTCTATGCTTTTGAATCGCCACGACGTGACATGATCCTTCTCTCTTCCTTTTCATTTGCACTTCCACTGTTGTTTCCCACTTTCATTTCAAGGTCAACGGTCTTGGTCTTGGTATTTTCGTGACTCAATTGCTTACAAGTTTATCCTTTTCCTGGTAAACTCTCCAATGGGTCGGAGGAACGATGGACTCAACTCTGTTCTCGCTCACCGTTTGATACTCCTCTTCGTGTGTTTGGCTTCGGGCGGTTTGGTCTACGCGCTTCTCTCTGCGGTGCTCGCAAATGGCAGAAGCAGAGTTTCAGACTTTGGGAGGCTGGTTGATGAGGGTATGGCGGTGCAGAATGAGGGAGGGTGCTGTAGGGGGATTGAGAATTTGGAGCTTTGGGGTTCAGCTGTGAAGTGGGGTTCTGAGTTTAAGTTCAACAATTCTGAAGGATGCTGCAACGCGTGCAAATCAATGTGTTCAGGAAAAGATGGACCTTGTCTCTGTGATACTTGGGTCTTTTGTGGGGATCGTAAGGCCTGTGGATCCAAGTTCGGTGAGGTAAGTTACTTAGTGTGTGATTAGATAACATTCTCTGTAAACCTTTTTGGGAGAAGGAAATAAAAAGAAAAGAAAATCCTTTTTCTGGTAAATTGAATTACCAGAAGTTCGTTTGTAGAATTTTTTTGTGTTAACTTTTATAGAAAATGATTTTTAACTTAGATATACGTTAGTTTTTATTTTATGAAGAAATTTATTTAATATATGCTTATTCTAAAATTACTTCTGGAGTTAGATAGACCATGTTTGCTATTTTTGCAGTTGCCTTAGCTTATGAAGATCTCCCATTTTTGTTGATATTTTTGGATTCATTCTTGCTGTTTAGAGTTGACTTGGAACTTTGGGTTCTATTTAGGCAAACTCCTTTATTACTATTTATAAGAGAAGAAAATAACAAGTAAAATGTATTGAATTTTTCTACAAGTTAAAATTTCCTTGTCACCTAGAGTTGCATGGCTTTCATAGCTTTCGTAGAAGTTAGAGTGCACCGTTTTCATGAGTGCATAACTTTCATATGCATAAAAAATGGAGGGCTTCTTTAAAAGTTATTATTCTTTTGATCAAAACTTTGACACGAGACTTGGAAGTCATAGCATAATAGCATTCGATTTTGTTGGTTCAGTGTTGGTTGAAGAAACAGAAGGACAGCTTGGCACCTGAACGGCAAGAAGGAGTGCCTCCAGGGGAAGTGGTTGGTTGGACTTCTGGTCTTATTTTTGGGAAAGGAGAGGTAAGAGAGAAGTTTGGTTTTTCCGTTTTTATCTTTATTAAAATGTTGTTTGTCAGTTTATCTGCAAATTCAATTTGATGAACATTGTGTTGGTGAAGTGCTTACATTGAACTGGCGTGTGATCTGATATTCTCTTTTAGATGGCTCAGAAATTCATCCTGAACCCGAAACAAAATTGTCTAGTGTTTTCTTATATGTGCTAACTATCTCCAAAATGCATGTTTTTCTGTTGTGTGTATTAAGTTTTTTCCCCCATTCTTTTCTACTTGAACAATTTAGTAGATTCTGTGTTGTGATGTGTACAATATGGATCTGATTGAAGCAGTTAGGTCAGGTTGACTAGAGAGACAGGTTCAGGAAATGGGCAATAGTTAGTAGTAGTACATTGGAAACTAGGAACGAGGAGATACGGTAGTAGCCACCTACCATGTTGTTCACATGAGCAACTGCTATTTATGTTAGAGTGTTTTGACTTGACACACACTCACTTTTTGTAGAAATGTCTTACTGGACAACTGTTATGTGATTAGTTGAATCTTTGGTAAATTACATATGCAGTAAAATGGTGTCTTCTCTTGGCGTACATAGTTATATCTCTCCCACCCCTATTTTGATGTATCACATATTTGGAACTTTATCAACTTCTGATGGGTTATCTTATTATCCGTGTTCTTTCTAATTCATCTATTCTCAGGGTATTATTGGACTGGAAACTGAACATGGAACTCTTCATATTAAAGTAAGTGCTTCTGCTCTTGACATCTAAAATACAAATGCTTTGATATTGCAGTTGAACTATTGACATGTTTGTGTAAAGTTAGTATTTGTATATTACATATAGAAGCACATGGGTAAGAAAAAAGAGTTCCAGTGACAAATGGAAGCACCCTGTACTTGGTCAGGGTGCTTACTGCATCTGTGTACTTTCTATGTTTGTTGGATGTCCTTGTCCTGGGAACCACTAATTTTATGTCTAGTTTAAATAGTTGACCGTGAAACTATTATTTGAATACAAATGTTGATGGAAGCATCCTTGCAATTCAATCACGAACACTTCCAAAACCAGAGAAGGCAGCGGTTAGTTGGATGACGATGAGGCACGGTAAGTGTTTGATGAATGTTTCAATGAAGGTGTATGAGTAGATCAAGGAATCTCAAGCTCCGAAAGCCTTCCAAGAGGGAAGGAAGCTAGAGGAGAATGTGCAGAATAGGCACAAAGTGTTTGAACTCTGAAAGAATGTCTGGAGAAATCTCAACAGCATATCATTATCAATTCAAAGTTGAATTTACAAAGGATGAAGCCCCCTATTTATAGATGAAGGAGAACTTCTAAGACGTGTGATGCAAGCTATTCTAAAGGCACGTGATGCAATGAAAAGAAGCTTGGGAAGCAAGCTAAGTTTGCCAGCTAAGCAGAACTGCAGAGGAAGATGGAGTTGCTGTCTGCAGTGTTCATGCATCTGAGCGTAACAGCAACATCTTCAATTTTATCTCCTTTGCTTTTCCTTGCTTGGTTACTCCTCCAAGTGTTTTGCCAAGCTTTATTTAATGACCTACAAAACAATGTAAAGTTATTTAAAGAGGAGGAAGAGTTTAGTAATTAATACTCCATAAGAGCAAAGTAGTTAGTGCTCCCTCTTCCTCTTGGATTCTCTTAGACATGGCTCTTGTTAAAGGTCCTATGTTGAGCTTGGATGGTCCTCCATCATATGTTCATGAGAAATATGCACTGAGGAAATTCATCAGTGTTGTAATTTTGTTGGTTATGATAATTCTTTGTGTGGCTCGTACTTCCTTGTTTAAGAAAATATGATGGATCAGTTGCTGGACCTTTGCTGGATAATTATGGAGAAGCTCACCATTTTAATAGATGATAAACTAGATGGAGTATTTCTAGTAAAGTCGGAAAATTATCTGTATTTGCTGATATTAATAATTACACAGAGTTCATTGACTATGAAACGGGATGCTCATGCTTCTTGACATTCTGTCAATCCTTGATGTTAACTCTGCTTATTGCATCTTATTTTTCTGTTAATACATCATGTATCTTGGTTGGATCTTGATTCAGCTTACTCTAAGAATCCCTGTTGTATTGTATTTTGAAATGGCCTAGTCACGAGTGAGGAATATGTTTATTAACTGAAGGAAATTCTTTATTCACTGCAGCTTTTACCTGACTGTGCTCCACACTCCGTTTCCTACATTCTGGAATTGTTGTCTTTGCACCATTGTGCTGGCTGCCAATTTTACCGTGCAGAGAGCCGAGGTCAATCATGGGATTCAGAAGGAAACCATATAGAAAATGTAAGACTGATTTTCCCATCTGAATCTGATGGATGATTGGATGCACACACACACATCTACTTCAATATGCAGTCATCTGCAAATTTTGTTATGAATTTCTGCATTAAAATCTCATTCTCAAGCATTGACAACTTTTTTTTAGTTTCTAGTTTCTACAAATTAACAAAATTGTATATTTTGAACCCCTCGCTACTTACTAGAAACTTAAAAGCACATTTATTACGTGAGAAACGGTGCCTAAAAAGCTGAACTACCCATAATGAAGAATTAAGCCACTTTGCGGACCACAACTTCTAGAAGTGAACCTTTGACATTCCAGAATATGCGAGTTCCTATTGCACATATTTTTTACAATTTTTAAGGATTAAATTAAATTACATGGTATTTTCAAAGACCCAAACTTTATGTAAACTTTTCAATTCATATTGAAAGACTTGTTTTTTACTTTTTTTTTTCCAAACAAAAATGAGGTTAGAAAAGATTACCGTGTCTATCTGAGGCCATTGACCTGTTATTCCCAAGGAGAAAAAGATTTTGCATGTTCAGACTACCGTTGTAAGTGCAGGCAATAACGTTCGTAATGTTGGATTGCAGTAACAATTAATGGTTATGGTCCTCATTTGCAGGCTGGCTTTGGTCCACCTTATGCATTAATTCAAGGGACACTAGAAGCACAAGGCACAGCTTTCAATAAACTTCCTGTGGAAGATTGTCCAACCCTTAGAAGGGGTTCTGTTGCTTGGATTGGTTCTGGTCCTGAATTCTTCGTTAGCCTTGCTGATCATTCAGAGTGGAAACATGAATACACTGTATTTGGTTCTGTTCTTCCAGAAGACATGCATATTGCAGAGAAAATCTCTACACTCCCCACAATAGCTGATGTGTGGAACAATGTCAACGTGACGGTTTTGAAAAAACCTGTTCCTCTGTTGGTCCGTAGAATCCAGAAAAGCCACGTAGATGAAATTTGAAACAAGCTGTGCATCAATGTAGATTGCAATTCTTTTTTGTTCCAAAGCTTATAGTTAAAGTTTGCATTAACTTTTGTTCTGTCTAAACTTTTTCTTCATTTTATCATTATTACTCCTTTTTTTAGATCATTGGTCGCTGTAATGTAAGGTAATGAAATTTTAATTTGAGAAAGGCTATAAAAGAGGGAATGGAAAGCTTTTATATCGCTGGAAGAAATCTTAGGAAGAACAATGATGATATCGTGACGTTAAATGATAAATGCACACATACTATTTCAAATTTAATTTTTTTGACTGTTGTTCGTATTGCAGCTCACTACACTTCATTTTCTGTTTCATGGCAGGAACTAAGATAATTTGAGAGAAGATGTGCAAGAGTCTGAGCGGAAAAGTAAAATATATACTGAAAAGATGGGATGTGATTTCATGTAGCTTACATACTTGTAGGAAACCAATTGAACTATAACAAACTGATTATGCTCATAAAGAGATAGATAATCCTTAGATACAATATATGTGACAATGAGAACTGAGAAGAATTGATTTCAATATTATACCAAAACTATGCTATCCCAATTCAATTTACAGTTCTTGTCTAAAATTAAACTTTTAATTACGATAATAGTAGCCATGAGCAACAACTTTGATCATAGGCTTCCAAAAAATCAGCACAGGGCTACAGAGAAGCCCTTTTAACTCTTGGCTAAGCTTATAGAAAACCCATGAAGTCCTCTTTTTCACGAAGCCCGTATCCATGGCTGTATGATAGTGAAATCTTCTTCAGTTTGTCCAAGAAAAGCACTTAAAATAACACAAAGCTGGAGCTGCTATCAGAATCAGATTCGTCTTGTAGCGATTTAGATGCCAAGGTGAGCCATGGCGTGGATTCACCTGGCTTACTAAGGGCTTCCATGTGATTGCTTGTTTGATATGGTGCTCTGGCAGCAATTCTGCAAAACATTAATGATATGTAAATCAATTGATCGAAAATTTCGCTGTTTTTCTTTAAAAAGAAGAGATAAAAATCTATTTTTCGCCCCAAGATTTGATCAAAATTTGCTGCTGTTTTAAAATTCACCATTTTAACCCACACTAAATTTACCACATCTTAGAATATACAAATACCAGTAACCCTGTTTAAAATGTAAAGATTAAAACCCATTTCAAACAAAATTGAAGGCTCTACTTATGTTGAAGGATTAATTTCTGTGACTCAGCCCACTTACCTATCCTTTCTTTTCTCCAAGAACCGATGAAGTGAAGCTTTTCTAGCCAAAGGTAGATCTGAATAAAAAGAAGCACAAAGCAAAGGATCAGAAACACATAAACCGACACAAAAATCACCCATGTCAGAAAAAAAAACAGAGATTGAAAGAAAGTTACCGCATATAACAGATTTAGACGGTGTTTGAGGGTGCTCCTGAACCGAATTGTTGGCAGTGGTAGGGATGATATTCATAAGAAAAGGAAACGGTCTGCTGGAAGTAGCAGAAATTGCAGCAGGGTACGAGCAAGCATAGCCGTTCTGGTTTTGGGACATTCCTGTGTTGGCAAAAGATATGATATCCTTGGCTTTGTCAGCTTGAATATCATCAAAGACAACAACTTGACCATCATAGAAGATTGTCAACTGCGAACCTCTGAGATCCTTGATCAAACCACTGCACACATGATGGAAAATCATACACATCAATTACTCGATCAAAAGCAGCCATAAAGTCATGATTTGAAGAAGCAAAAGAATGGTACCTGGAATTTCCCATGTTGGGAATCTCTTCTGCGTAGAGATGAGAAGGGTAAGGAAGTTGTTTAGAGAGAAACTTGGAAGATGAAAGGTTCCATGGATCCATCTTGAGATACAGAGTGGTATTAAATCTTGAGTTTTCAATGGCGAAGGTAGGTGTGAGAGGGTGAAGAAGTAGATAATACTTAATTTGTGATGAGAGTGAACCTTATCTTGATTCTTTAATTTATAAAGGGGTGGTGGAATTTAGGCACGAGGAATACATGGGTTTAATTTTGTGTTTATTTTTGTGGTTTAGCTTTTGAAGGACAGCTGCATGCATCTGGTGCAATAGGGACAGGTCATGGGCTGTCGTCAGGTCAACTTGCATGGTACATCGTTTGGTTCGTCATTTATTTGATGTCTGTTTTCTTTTCCTTTGAAAATTCCACAACGTGTTATTTGCGTCTCTCTGAAATATCCGAAAAACCCTTCTTTCCTCCCAATAGCAATGCTGTTGTTTTTCACGTGCTTTTTCAGCTCCTCGCACGTTGCTTAACCCCTTAACCTTACCAAATATACCGTGTGCTTTTAAAAAAAAATATTTTAATAATATTTTTTTGATAATATTTTAATATTATATCATTAATTGATCCAAAATTGTTTCAGAATTAATAACAATAATAATCATAGATTAAACACAAAATAACACATAAAATAATGTTTAAATATTATAAAAATAATTGTTATCAAAAGGATCATTATCCTTTAAAAAAACTAGTTCAAATGTAAGCATTAAAAAGTTTTCAAAATGAAGAAGATAAGAAGAAAAGACTTTAATCTATTTTTTTGTAATTTTGCTCTGCTAGAAGATTTTGTCGGAGATTTCGTATTCAGAAAATTGTGTACGGGATTCACAAATAAAACATTAGAGTTAATGTTCTTTTAACTAAAGTTTGATGTGTTTAACGAAGATTAGTTCCGAACATGCCATGGGTAGTACCAAAGTTTGGGGCTAAAATTTAATGATAGATTTACCGTATGTTCGTCCGTTGGAATGGTGAATCATAAATTAAACGGTTAATTCTAAGATTGATTATATGTTGATTATTCTGGTCAATCATTTTAGATTATTATATTACTTTCAATCAACCTCCTAGACATATAACTTGTGTATCTGAACGACGTTACTAAACGGTTAAAAAATATCATATTAACAAAATTTATGATTATATTGCGATTAGATTAAAAATAAATAAATATTCATAATAATTATTATAAAATTTTAAGGTATGATTTTTAAATATAGATATTAGACACAAGCATCACTAAATTAATATTATACTAATTCGTTATTTATTAACTCGAACATCTAAATATCTTTTTGCACATTTGATCAAAATAGAATACTCGACCCAACACTCATTAGTTTAAAAAATGTAACATGAATACTCAAACAACGACAAATAATTCCAAAATCGATAATATTTAGTGTTAGATACTAATTACAAGTTCAATCTATATATATCGAAACATTAGGTGAGTAAAAAATAAAAAATAATTTGTTTTATGTGTAATTAACATCTAATTTGTAACTTTAAATTAGTTATTTTATTGTGTGATTTTTTATCATTTAATTTTACTATCAATGAGATAATGTAATTTTTATTTCTGTTTACTTTATCTCAAATTCTCTAATCACTTTTTTTATATAAAAAATTAAATGAGTAATTGAAAATGAAAAAAAGAATTGACCTGAGAGTTGAAAAAGAAAAGATACAAGGAAGATCAAATAAATAAATTCTCAAGATGAATACAATGGAATTTTTATAGGTAATCAATATTAAATATTCGAGAAGTTATATAAAATATAATTAAGTCCAATTTAACCTAATTTATTGTGACAGTGAGTTACATCGGGAGAGATGAGAAGATACTTTAAGTGGGTCTGATGAAAATAAACTTTAGAAAGAGTTTGATTGAATATTTGGATGAAGATGCAAGCCATATAAAATTAGACATAGCTGAGGTCGCAGCACTATGATTAAGGCCGACAAAGAAAGCACGCCTTTTATCTTAAAATTAATATTTTTTCAGTTAATACTTATTTGTACTTTTATCATGTCATCAATTCATTCTTTTGTCTTTTTAATCCTAAAAGGAGGTGGTGGAGTTTGATGGTTTCAGGAGAATGGAGAATATGAGGTAGAGTTTTTGGTGAAAGATGGAATAGAAAAAAAACTTTGACGAGGGTTTTTACTTTGACTAAGGGGTAAAAGAGGAATTTCCAAAAATTAGGGAGGTATAGGAAGAAATAAATTGAGGTGTAGAAAGTATCAGCCTGATGAGAAATGAAACCGCAAGGATATGTTATGGGCCTATATAAATTGGGCCAACTAAATATCTGAATTAAGTTTATTACTTCTTACACTCCATAATTACTATATGCACCTATATAATATTAGGAAAAGACTATCCTTCACCTCTACATCACATCGCACCATATTATCACTTTGACCGCCGTCACTGTATTGTCGCACTGCTGCTACAGACAAAGAAAAGAGAAGAAGAATGTTGATGAAGAGAGGGAAAATGTTGCACGAAGACAAAAAATGTTGAAATAAAAGAACTTCTTTAGGAAAGGTTTTTTTTTCAAAATATATTTCATATATTATGGACAACTCTTTGTAAACATATTTCGTTTAATAGTGATCTAGAGAACTTGTTCCAAACATTTCAAAACATTTATTTCAAGTTTTTTTTTAAAAAAATTTGTCCTGAAAATTTTATTTTTTAAATTCTGTTTTTAAAATCTTGTTCTGAAAATTTTATTCAAGAAAATCTCTGAAATATATAACTCAGAAGTTGCTTTTATAAAGAGTAAAATATCATCTTGAAAACTTGAGGGGGTATGCAAAGAAATTGTTAGGATGCAGGAAGTAAAAGCCCGAAATTAATAGGCCGGGTTAGCCCAAATTAACATTCTCAGTGTCGTTACTTGTAGGCGGTTGATTGGTGAGAAAAGAGACGGTTGAGAGTTGAACTTCCTGGCGCGCAAAGCCTTCTCTGCAATCGATGGTTCAATTTCACGAACACATCATCACAGAGCTTCTAGAAGATTCCAATGGCGGTCTCGTGGTTCTCTCGTCCGGCCTTTCTCTCTCTAAACTCGTCTCGTCTCTCCTTATTCTACACTCCTCATCCGAGGGAACGCTCCTTCTTCTCTCTCCTTCCTCCACTTCACTCAAATCCAAAATCACCTTCCACCTCAAAACCCTAAACCCACAATTCAACCAAATCCCCGCCGAAGTCACCGCCGACCTCCCCGCGCACCACCGCCACGCGCTTTACTCCTCCGGCAATGCATTCTTCATCACGCCGCGCATCCTAATCGTTGACCTCTTGACCAACAAGTTACCGACCTCCAAAATCGCCGGGATCCTCCTCCTTAACGCGCACTCGCTCTCCGAGACCTCCACCGAAGCGTTCATTGTTCGGATTTTCCGTTCGTTCAACCGCAGCGCGTATGTGCGCGCGTTCTCCGACAAGCCGCACGCGATGGTGTCGGGGTTCGCAAAGGCGGAGCGGACGATGAAGTGTCTGCACGTGCGGAAGCTTCACCTGTGGCCGCGGTTTCAGGTTTACGTGTCTCAGGAGCTGGAGAGGGACCCGCCGGAGGTGGTGGACATAAGGGTGCCGATGAGCAAGTACATGGTGGGAATTCAGAAGGCCATTATTGAGGTCATGGATGCTTGTTTGAAAGAGATGAGGAAGACGAACAAGGTCGACGTGGAGGATTTGACGGTGGAGAATGGGTTGTTTAAGTCTTTTGATGAGATTGTGAGGCGACAGTTGGATCCAATTTGGCACACTTTAGGGAAGAAGACCAAGCAGCTTGTCTCAGACCTTAAGACATTGAGGAAACTGTTGGATTATCTAGTCAGGTCTTTCCTTGCATGTTTTTGGACTTTAATAAGCTATAATAATAGCGTTATGATAAGAGTTTAATTTCCAATCATCGTCAGTATAATTTACACGTTCAGTTAATCAGAAATATGGATGATATGATTTATAAACTAGTTTTTCTAAAAGTCAAGAAAATTATTATGCATGGCAAATTTTAACTGGATGACAGCTTATAAATCACATAAACTATTTACTCCTACGAGTATTTGCATCTCATGTTGGGGTTGCTTCAATGTAAAAGGAAGTGAGAAATGGAAAGAAAAAAAGAAAAGAAAAGGGGAGGCTGGCAGATGCAACAAGTGATGTGATGAGAAAAGAGATAGGAAGAAAATATGGTTGATAGGAGATGGAAGAAAAAGTAGGTGTATGTTTATAGTTGTGAGAATAAAATGCCTTGATTTTTGGGTATATACATGTGAGATTTTAATTGCGAAATGTAGTATCTTTATTAATTTCTCATATATTAACCTTGGTAGTTTGTTGGATTTAGCTTTAAAATAATCATCTAAAAAGTAATGTCTTTGTTGTAGTAGGGACTGATTGTGCGACTTCCTCTTGACAGGTATGATGCAGTAACTTACTTGAAATATCTGGATACATTGAGAGTGTCAGAGAGTTTTCGGTCTGTTTGGATATTCGCAGAGGCAAGCTATAAGATATTTGATTATGCAAAGAAGCGTGTTTTTCATCTTGTGAGATCAGATGGCTTGAAATTTAATGAGTTGAGTAAGGGTGTCAAGAACAAAAAGAGAAAAAGTAAGGGTGATGGAAAAGACATTGAAGAAGGTAAGATATTATTACTATGATGTTTCGTGTTCTTATTCTGGCATATATATGTTGATCTGTTGTGTTGATTAGTTTAATATATTATTAATGTAAACAATATAGGGAGAGAGTAAATGAGATTTCGAATGCCAAGTGTAGGCATGGCATTTATGTCAGCTTAATTTTATTTCGAATATGCTTGTGTAGCAGTTGATGGTACTTCGCACTCTACTTTGAATTCCGGCTTAGTTTTGGAGGAAGTCTTGGAAGAAGCACCAAAGTGGAAGGTCTTACGTGTGAGTTAGTGAGTCCCAATTGTAGAAAGTCTTTGGGTCATGTTCAATTTATGAGATTTGATATGTGAGACTGAAAAACATTAATTTGGCATTTGTTTCAATTTATGTGTTTAAAGTCTCTACTTGTTCCTTCAACATGTAGTGCCCTGAAGAGAGTTTTTTCTTTTTTAAAAAAAGCAGAAAAACGGTGAATTTAATCATGATTGTTTGATATTTTAGACTGAGGGGTGATTTGATTATACCTTTATAGGAG